GATAACCTAATAATATTTTCTTGAACATTGACGTTTCTTGGAACGCCAATAAAAACGGTACCATCATTTTTTTTTGCTTTTCTAGTAAAAACAACCTCAACTACTTGTCTTTTCAAATGCAAATGTCCCCTAGCATATCGAAAGGACCGTGAAATTCCTATTAAGGGGCCTAACCCACATGTCATCACTTGTGTAACACGCGAGCGATGACACACAAGCAAGAAGGCTGTTTTCCCATCACTCTACGTCCTACTTTTGTAAAATCCAATAGAAACAATCAATATGCACCTAGTTAGTGTTGCTACAGAATCCGAACCCTTCGCTCAACTGCAGGGTTGCCTAAACGGTCACCAGAACACCCAACGATGCGATCGATCAAGTTTGTGAACTTCCGTTGAACTAGCGGTATGTGGCGCTAAAGAGAACAACGGCCAAGGCTGTTGTTTCCTGTTCTTCATCAATCGTTCTTCATCTTTGGTGTCAAACACAAATAGCACTGTAATGATGTCCAAAAATCGACCCAGAAGGAATGACAGGAACGGATCAGGTGTTCGTTCGACTAGGGAAAAAATTCCACGTTTTGAAAAAAAAACTGTCCCAACAACTTCGCCCATCATCGATCATGGACAGCCCTTTACAGTCGCATCGGCACCATCGTGGCCGTACCGTAACGATCGCGATTCTTCTGTCATGATTTTTTTATGATCGAATCAGCTGATCACCACTTCATCTATGGTGATTCAGGAGCTAGTTGAAAAACTGGAAACGTCGAGAGAAAGACTGCTTGGCGAATCGGTTGGTGTGTGACCTCGAGCCATTACGCACTATCAATTACACTGTTCATAAGAAGAGAACGGAACATATTATCAATGTTAATCATTGCACAAAGGAAGAGAGCTAAATTTATCCATGATGAGCATTGACAAAACAACAATTTTCGGAATTTTAAGAATATTTAAATGAACGCACCTTTTCAGATGATTTGTCTCCCCGACCACACTATTGATGAATACAACTTTCGCTGAAAACAAATCGAATATGAGGGCGAATGACCAGAAGGCTCAATAATGCCACAGTTCGACGAGGGGGGGGGAGGGACATATGCACTTCCACTGCTTCTTAAGTTCCGGTTTGAGCCACCACAGTAAATGGTATTTTTATGGTATTTCGTTGCTTCACAAAAGCTGACGTTATTTTTTACGTGAGTTGACAAGTGATTTTACAAACATTGGCTGGTACCATTTCGAAATCGATGGCAAGAAACAACAATGTAAAATGCCCCCGTCCTCGAATTGCCCTCTAAATGATTAGTGAGCGTTCGAGGATGCGCCATGCATGGGGACAGTTAATTCTGGTCACATCTATTACAGCATCTCTTGCCAACCGACTCCCCATAACGGCCGGTCGGCAAACTTTGTTTCCCTCCGAAATAACTATCTGCAAACAAGTAAAATCAAGGTGAAGTGAGCCTTCAGAATTGGGATCTCGCCCTTCATTCTACCCTGTTCACCAAAATGTTCAGCCTACTTTTAAGAATCCGAACAGTTTTGATACTAATACTGTCGAGGTTGGGTGGTGGTCAGTCTGTAGCACGAAAAGCAATAAAGATTATTCTGTGGTACCTTGAGGGTCATCAATTGTGGTCACACTAGGTTGTGAAAAGAATCAGTTCTAATAAATAACAGTACGTGACGTACTACATATCAGAGACTGCAACTAACAGAAGTAGCTGAAGCTGTTCTACAAGGCAAACAAAAGTAGCGAATTCATCAGCAAGTTCTTCCCGACGAGAGCCACAGTGGACATTCTCACAATAGTCAGTCGATTGTAAATTTTCTGAGAGACAGAAGGTACATTCCATATCTGAGGGGAACAAGCGGAACAACTCTGAGAACGGTGATGGTAGCAAGGGGTTGGACGAAAAAGAGGCAAATATATAAGAGTGGAGCAGGCATGGGAATACTCAGCCTCACAGATACTTACGCCTTCCGATGTGAACGGTAGTGAATAGCAGAAAAGTGAGCACAAACGGACTTCATTTCAGTTACTGTCACAAATGTTACTGTGCTGAAATGGTAGTTTTCCAACCGATATTGTGCCATCCAATTTTTTTCAGTGGTAAAAGGCATTGCCCCCGAGAAAACTGGCTGATTCATGTAAACTAGCCGGATTCTGTTTTAAGCCATAGTCCAAAGGCTCCAGGAGCACTGTGTAAATAAAAAAAACCATAAGCGTGAAACGCAAAACGCCCTTTAGAGATTGATATGCTTGCCTTTTTTTTACATAGCTCAACGACACATTTCGCGCCGTTACTTCTCTAGGAGAAGGGTTCAGAGATGGATTTGTTGAGGTCCGTCGACTGGAGAGTAAAGACAATGCAGACAAAACCGCCTTGAGCACTCTGTATAAGGTCATTTATCTAAAGTTAATTGCCGCCATTGGACTGGAAGCGAGGAAAGAACAGGCCTTGAGGGATCAGATAGAATGGAATAGAGAAAGAATAGGCGAGCGATACGATTCTAAAACTACTATGGAAAGAACGCAATGCCGCTCGTTCTCTGGGCTGGTCCGTTAACTTGAAGGTGGGGTTACTGCTGCGAATGAGAGCCTCGTCGCCCTCGGTCACTGACATACAGGGGGGCCAAAAAAAAAAGTCATTTTTCCTCCATGACTTTCAAGGCGCTATAAGTTACACTTTATTAAATTTTTATCGGACATTTTTACTACCATATTAAAGAGCACATTAAATACTATAATGATACTCCGCCACAGCCTTCTGGAGGAGCGCCATCGAGAGATTCGGCCGCGCGAAAGTGAGTGGGTACCGGAGTTGAGCGAGATCGTTGATTTCTCCGCCATGTAGACCACCCTGTTGAGCTCGCGCCGAAGCGAGTAATTGAGGGGGGTTAGCTCAGGACCCCCGCTTTAAATATTCCACCTTTTCCAGGTACTCAACGTTCTTCCATTCTCACACGGTTATGGGCGAAGGTTTTTGTCAACGCCTCGATTTCATGTTGCGGTGGCAGGTCGATGGCCTGTAGCGAGTAACAAATTCCAAGAAGGTACGGGCGACCACATGTGAGCTGGATATTCTTCACGAGTTGCCCAATGTAACCGCCAGCGCTCACCTTTAGTCCGGGGTCCACGAAGAAAATATTGGTCTTTCCATTCCAGGTACGGCCGGTCCACACCATCAACCCGCGCCTTGGTGAATGGGGTGTGAGAATATGTCCTGGCTCGTCAGCGACGTGGCCGGATGCTGCATCGCATGTTTGAGCGCTCTATGCGATCAAGAGTACTGGTCTCCAGTAGCTATCATGGGCGTGATTCCATCATGAAGTTCCGCAGCTGTTTGCGAGGGCCGACCTGTTGATATTCTAAGCGCGTTCTGCCACTCAAGCCGCGGACTGGGAGGATGCACTTCATATTTTGCGCGTCGTGACATCTGAATGCGTGAATGGCGTTCAGCCGGCTCCTGCTTATAGAGGAAGATCTTGGGTATCTTCCGCCCTGGTACTCATATCCACTTCCTCTGTCTGGGCTGCGAAAACTTCGCTCATATGTGACTCGGCCGGAATGACTTTTTTTTTTTTTGGCCCCCCCTGTATACCTGCCAAGTTAGGTAACACTCATGGCCCCCCCCCAATTTGTGAGCGGAACTTACAGTACTTACAAGAGAATTAACTTTACCTAAACGGTAAACGCCGAGCAAATAGCTTTAATGGAATAAAGTGACGAGTAGCTCCTAGTGTGCCGAAAGAACGGAGAGAGGGCATTCTTGCCTCCTCACTATGCAAATATTTGAAGAAAGACGAGAAAATAGCGACAGATCAATGTTGCGATAAAAATAGAAGGAGTCGACACAGGAAATTTTCATCATTAGTGAAGCAATCCCATCCCTGCCAATCAAAATCGAGAATCAATGAAATAGGCTTCTGAAAAAGATACCATTCAAGAATGTAATGGCATGACACCTTTTTTCACGAAATCGTTGCACGATAAACGAGTTTGCCACTTTTTTCGAATTACAACTCTCTTTCCTTTCCAGGAAATATCAAACTAGTAAGAGTGACGAGATTACACATAGAAAAAGAACGGCGGAAGTGCATAAGCACGAGAAAATTGTTGAGTTATCACTAAACGATTACTGAAGACCCTAATTATCCAGATGCTTCCAGGCGGGGCGAAAACGATGAGGAAGCCAGTGATGACGCGGATTAATTGCCACTCAGCTCCTGCGGCCGGTCGATGTAAGCCATATTGACATCAGCCCCAGGAAAGCTTTGCGTAGCCTAAGCAACCCCACTTTAAACTACTTCGAATGCGGCACCCTTCCTTTGTGGCCTGATTCAGACTGCAATTCTACGAAACAATCTAACCTTTTCGCCCAATGTCTCTGGCTTCGTCGAGTTCCTGAGATGGGATGCCTTCGAAGATCCACGTGGAGTCAGCCGGCTTCAGAAGGCCACAAATGACGAGGACGACAATGTCGGGTGTTACACGCATCGCTCGACTGCCGACACTTGTTACCCCGCCCCTTGAAGGTAACCTGCAATTAATGGCTGCGACCACGCCCACCTTAACGGGATCACCTTCGGTCGGCGACAGCCACGGTAGTCGTGGCATGCTGCCGATTGACCGTCGAACAGGAATTCTAACGTCGAGGAGGAGGGCCGCTCAGAAGGTGAGAGACTTTGCAAGAGAACTGGGTTTACTGGGTTTCTTATAGTCATCAACTGAAGCTTAGTTTCAGAGTAAACTGGTTGCCGACGAGGAACAAAGGAAGGTGACACGATTACGACCGGAGCCATTGCCGCAAGTGAGTTTTTGGCCTCCTTCTTATTCCGATTTATGCACCATATCTTTGTTTTTATTCAGGTGGTACCGAATGGGTACATCAAATCAAATGGCATTTATACATGGCCTAAAGGACGAACAACGATGACTGAAGTGACGACCGAATGCCGAGACCCTCCCGCTAGGTGCCGTACGCTACCCCCTCTTCGAAACGGCAGAAAGAAGAAACCTCCTCGTCTCCATCCTATTTCACCGGCACGGAATAATGACACAGCAGGTGCTTACGTATAAGACATGAAGTAAATATTAATTATTTTTAGTATCAGTAAAGCAAAGTAAAGTATTAGTATCAGTAAAGCATGAGTAAAGCATAGTGACGTGACGATGTTTCGCATTAACATCATCGCCAAATCGATTCACGAAATCTCACCTCCTCTAATAACCATGTCAAGCCATACATGCAACACCCACTATTTAGCATTTTCTCCCTCGATAACTAGCCGCCGTCGTACAGCCGCCTCATACCGCAGAGAGATAGGGCACATCACTGGTTGGGGGTTTTGGTGGAGTCCGTGGGACCCTGCCCAGGAGGAGACTTGACCCCTCCCTTGTTCCCGTCCTCTAGCCATGATCAAACTGTCGGGCGTTGGAGGAGGGATGAGAATAGGCGGAGAAATACGACCTCCGCTTTCCCCCCTACCTACCATTTGTCTGATTTCCCCGCCTTCGCTGCGGTCGTTCGGCGGAAGCTTGCCGCGAAAAATTTGCTACTGTCTCTCAAAATTCCGCTGTCGAGCGGATACATAGCACAACAAAAAAACTTGCGAAAGTCAACAAACTGGGGAAAAATTTTCTCAACGCCCCGAACTTCTCACAGACGGCAAATGCGATTCCCCCCTTACAGCTGTCTGTGAAAAGAGAAATCAACCATAAAAAATGTTCTCGGAAGAAAGACGACCCACCCCTTCCCACCAGCGACCAATACGACCCCCGTGAACCCCGTGTTGGGGAATGCCCAACAATGATGTGCCCTGAGGGACAGCACCGTGGATATAGAATGAGCGCAGTCGAAGGGTCCAGTTGTGTTTATCACTGAGCCAACCGGATATTGCTTTGGCCGCTGATTAAGGCGTTGACGACATTACAAGCCATCGTTGGTTCATAAGCGAGCGGCGGCAATATGAGCCACCGGTGACTCATAGGCTTTAACCTTTTGCACCATTTCGGGTTATTGCCCTTATGGTTAGTTTCCATCTTTTTTTTCTTGTTTTCTAATGGCATGTGAAAGATGAAAGACCCTCAGGGATGAGCGAGAAAAATGTTGCTGTCTTCATGATATTTCGAAATAGAAACTGGAATTTTCAGCAAATTCTGCTGACCTAGAAACCTGCAAAATGGTTCTTTTCGGAACGCCAAATTAGCGCTAGCAGTATTTTTGGCACCCGAATTCGACACAATTCTACACCTGAAGAATTGGAAATCCTTATTACAAATGTATCGTGCCGTTTCGTATTTCCGCGTCAGT